ACGACGGGCAACAACGACGATGGCGACGATCAACGACAACGACGACGACGGGCAACGACAACGAGGACTGCGAAGACGACGACGACGACGGGCAACGACAACGAGGAGGACGACGACGACGACGACGACAACGGCGACGACGACGACGGCGGCGACGCCGACGGGCAACGACGACGACGACGGGCACAGACGACGACGACGGGCAACGACGACGGGCAACAACGACAGCGACGGGCAATGACAACGACCACGACGACGACGACGACGACAGGCAACGACAACGAGGACAGCGACGACGACGACGGCGACGACGACGGCGGCGACGACGACCGGCAACGACAACGACGACGGGCAACGACAACGACCACGACGACGACGACGACGACGACGAAGACGACGACGACGACGGGCAACGACGACGACGACGACGACGACGACGACGACGGGCGACGACGACGACGACGGGCAACGACAACGACCACGACGAGGACGACGACGATGACAACGACGACGGGCAACGACAACGACGACGACGACGACGACGACGACATCGACGACGGCGGCGATGACGACGGGCAACGACGACGACGACGACGACTGGCAACGACGACGACGACGACGACGACGACGACGGCGGCGACGACGACGACGGGCAACGACGACGACGACGACACGCAACGACAACGACGACGACGACGACGACGGGCAACGACGACGACGACGACGAGCAACGAAAACGACCACGACGACGACGACGACGACGAAGACGACGACGACAACGACGACGACGACGACAACGAGGAGGACGACGACGACGACGACAACGACGACAACGACGACGGCGGCGACGCCGACGGGCAACTACGACGACGACGGGCAAAGACGACGACGGGCGACGACGACGGGCAGCAACGACAGCGACGGGCAACGACAACGACACCGACGACGACGACGGCGGCGACGACGACGGGCAACGACAACGACGACGACGGGCAACGACAACGAGGACTGCGACGACGACGACGAAGACGACGACGGCGGCGACGACGACGGGCAACGACGACGACGACGGGCAACGACAACGACCACGACGACGACGACGACGACGACGACGACGACGGGCAACGACGACAACGACGGGCAACGACAACGACAACGACGACGACGACGACGGGCAACGACGACGACGACGACGACGACGGGCAACGACAACAACCACGACGACGACGACGACGACGACGACGACGACGACGACGACGACGACGACGGCGGCGGCGACGACGGGCAACGACGACAACGACGGGCAACGACAACCGCGACAACGACGATGACGACGACAACGACGACGGACAACAACGACGACGACGGGAAACGACAACGACGACAACGACGACGACGACAACTGGCAACGAAAACGAGAACGACGACTACGATGACGACGACGACGACGACGATAGCGGCGACGACGACGGGCAACGACGACGACGACGGGCAACGGCAACGACGACGACGACGACGACGGGTAACGACAACGACAACGACGACGACGGGCAACAACGACGAGGACGACGACGACGACGACGACCACGACGACGACGACAGGCAACGACGACGACGACGGGCAGCGACAACGACGACGACGACGACGATGACAACGACGACGGGCAACGACGACAACGACGGGCAACGACAACGACCACGACGACGACGACGACGACGGGCAACGACAACGACGGGCAACGACGACGGGCAACGACAACGACCAGCAACGACGATGACGACGACGACGGCGGCGACGACGGGCAACGACGACGACGACGACGACGGGCACCGACAACAAGGACGACCACGACGGGCAACGACAACGACGACGACGACGAAGACGACGACGACGGGCAACGACGACGACGACGACGACGACGACGGCGGGCGACGACGACGACGGCGGCGACGGCGACGGACAACGACGACGACGACGGGCAACAACGACGACGACGGGCAACGACGACAACGGCGGTCAACGACGGCGACGACGACGACGGGCAACGACAACAAGGACGACGACGACGACGGACAACGACGACGACGACGACGATGACGGCGACGACGACGGACAACGACGACGACGACGGGCAACGACGAAGACGACGACGGGCAAAGATGACGACGACGACGGGCAACGACGACAACGACGGGCAACGACGACGACGACGACGACGGGCAACGACAACGAGGACAACGACGACGACGACGACGACGACGACGACGACGACGACGACGACGGCGGCGGCGGCGACTACGGGCAACGACGACGACGACGGGCAACGACGACGACGACCACGACGACGACGACGACGGTGACGATGACGGGCAATGACGACGACGACGGGCAACGACAAAGACGGCGACGACGACGACGACGACGGGCAACGACGACGGCGAAGGGCAACGACAACGACCACGACGACGACATCGACGACAACGACCATGACAACGACGACGACGAGCAACGACCATGACGACGACGACGACGACGACGGCGGCGGCGACGAAGACGGGCAACGACGACGATCACGACGGGCAACGACAACGACAGCGACAACGACGACGACGACGACGACGACGACGGGCAACGACGACGACGACGACGGGCAACGACAACAAAAACGGCGACGACGACGACGACGACGACGACGGCGACGACGGCGGCGACGACAACGGGCGATGACAACGATGACGACGACGACGACGACAACGACGACGACAACGACGAGGGCGACTACGACGACGGCGGCGACGACGACGGGCAACGACGACGACGACGGGCAACGACAACGACGACGACGACGACGGGCACGACGACGACGGCAACGACGACGACAACGACTGGCAACGAAGACGACGACGGGCGACGACAACGACGACGAGGACGATGTGCAACAACGCCGACGACCACGACGACGGACAACGACGACGACAACGACGACGACGACGACGGGGAAGACGGGCAACGACAACGAGGACGACGACGACGACGACGACGACGACGAGGACGACGACGGGCGACGACGACGACGACGACGACGGCGACGACGACGACGACGACGACGACGGAGGCAACGACGACGGGCGACGACAACGACGACGACGACGACGACGAAGACGACGGGCAACGACAACGACGACGACGACGACGACGACGACGACGACGACGGGCGACGACGCCGACGACGGGCGACGACGACGACGACGACGATGACACGACGAAGACGACGACGACGGGCAACGACGACGACGACGACCACGACGACGACGACGACGACGACGACGACGACGACGGGCAACGACAACGGCCACGACGACGTCGACGACAACGACGACGACGACAACGACGAGGATGACGACGACGACGACCACGACGACGACGACGACGACGGACAACGACAACGAGGACAACGGCGACGAAGACGACGATGGCAACGACAAGGGCAACGACCACGACGACGACGGACAACGACAACGACGACGACGAGGACGGCGGCGACGACGACGACGACGACGACGAGGACGACGGGCAACGACAACGAGGACGACAACGACGACGACGACGGGCAATGACAAAGACGTTGACAACGACGACGACGACGACGACGACGACGACGACGACGACGACGACGACGACGGAAACAACGACGACGGGCAGCGACAACGACGACGACGACGACGGCGACGACGACGACGGCGGCGAGGACGGGCAACGACCACGACGACGTCGACGGTCAACGACAACGACGCCGACGACGACGACGACGACGACGGGCAACGACAACGACCACGATGACGACGACCACGACGACCCCAGGCATCGACAAAGACGACGATGACGACGATGACGACGACGTCGACGACGACGACGGCGACCGCGACGGCGACGGCGAAGGCGTCGGCGACGGCGACGGCAACGGCGACGGCGCGGCGACGACGACGGCGACAGCGACGGCGACAAAGATGATGACGACAGCGACGGCGACCACGCACGACGCACGACGCTCGACGCACGACGACGACGAACATAACGGCGGCGGCGACAACGACGGCCTCTGCGAGGGCTTGAAAAGTGTTATTACGTTTTCGAATGTCCTCGTGGCTACCGCTGGATTCAACTCGGAGCCCTGACTACAACTCGCTCGCGGACCGTTCCCAGCCATCTGGGCGTTGCCAACTGCACCAGTCCTTTAGGGCATAGGCAGCTTAGGGGGTGTTCTTCAACCCCTCGTTCTGCGTTTTCGGGGAGGGTGTTATCACTGAGGAGGAGGAGGAGGAGGAGGAGGAGGAGGAGAAGGAGGAGGAAGAGGAAGAGGAGGAGGAGGAGGAGGAGGAGGAGGAGGAGGAGGAGGAGGAGGAGGAGAGCTGGGTGTCGTGGCACCCGTAACAGCCGAAAATGCATCCTGCTCCCGACACCCGTCTCATGCAGTGGGCGGTGCACCACCCGCCCAGCCAGCTTTTGAGCAAAGCCGACCGCCATGAAAAGGGCAGGGCGTCCAGTCCGTTTTCAGAGCGGCACAATCGATGCCCCGACTTCCCACCTCCACGCCAAAACATCTCATGAGACGCTTAGCAGGAGGAGGAGGATAAGGAAGAGGATGAGGAGGAGGATGAAGACAAGGAGGATGAGGAGGAGGAGGAGGAGGAGGAGGAGGAGGAGGAGGAGGACGGGGACGAGGAGGAGGAGGAGGACGAGGACGAGAGGGAGGAGGAGAGAGGTTCGAGTCGATAACCTTACAGCCCAAGGGCCCATCCAAGCCGTACGGCCGAGCAGAAGAAGGAGGAGGAAGAGGAGGGATGAGGATAACTGCGGCGGCGAGGAGGAGGAAAAGGAGGAGGAGAGGGAGGAGGACGACAAAAAGCATGAGGAAGGAGGAAGAATGGAGGAGGAGGGAGGAGGAGGACGGCGCGAGAGCGCGGCGCATCGCCCATGTGAGGAGGAAAGGTTGCCTCTCTCAGTCGACCTTGTCCGCGCCGGCGCGCCCGTGCCAGGAGGTGCACGCCGCCAGCTGCGCCAGCGCGTGCGCGGCCAGCGCGGGCTGGAGCGCGAACCAGAGGCGGTAGCTCCGGTGGCCCACGAAGGTGACCGAGCCGGCGGCGACGACGACCCGGCGGCGCGCAGACGGGGGGCGGAGGGCGGAGGACGGCAGAGTCGGCCCTCGACGCGCCTCGATTGGCGCCGCCCTGCCCCTCTTCGGGCCTCCGCCCGGGGGGGGCGGGGGGGCCCCGTGGCCGCCGGCTCGAAACATGCTGCAGAAAGATGGGGTCTTGGACTCGGGTCGTGTCGATTTCCGCGATACTGCACTTTTTCGCAGCGTCGGATCTCAGGGCAACGGGGACTGGCAAAGCAGCTCAGCGGCGTGGCCGAGACCAGCTGCACGCAGCAGATGTCGCAACCCTTCCCCTCGTCCGACCCATCCCTCGACCCCTTCCCAGAGGGGGGCTGGGCCCCGAGCCGTATGGCCCTGGGGCTCGAGGCCGGCATCCAGAGAGGCCACCGGTCATGAAGCCGGCCGTCTCGGCTGGTTCGAGCCGCCCCATGCCTGGGCCGCGCACCCAGAACCCCGACGGAGGTCTGTCGACCACCTCCCAGAGCCTGGCTCTTCTCATCCCAGGGCGTTTGCTGGACGGCCCTGGGGCCTGGCAAGGGGAGGTCGAAAACGGCAAGACACCCGCGGTCGTGATTTTCTCATGGCCCGAGGGGATCTGAGGACCGCCCTTTCCTGGGAGGCAACATCTGGCAGGTCTTCGTCCAAACGATTGCAGGGCCATAGGGCCCCGATAATGCCCGATTAAACCACATCAAAGTGCCCGATTGCGGCGCCACCAATCCGCACGAGGCCAGCCTAAATCCAGGAGTCGGATGGATCACGCGGGAACGAGCCAGAAAAAGCAGGACTGCACCAGATGCAGCGGGATGCAGCCAGAGGGTGCTGGTCTCCGATCCCGGGAGACGGTTGCCAACGCCGACTCGGAACTCGGCCTCCTGGGAGCAGCACCCTCGACCGCCTCCCCGGCGCGCGCCGCCGAGGACGGCCAGGGCGCAGTCGCACGCCCTCGAGGCGGCCGCCGGCACCGGCCGAAGCCCGCGGAGCGACACGGCCAACGCCGGGGCCACGAGCCCGAGGGCCGGGAGCGGCGGGCCGCCGCCGCGGAGCTCCTGGGGAGGGCGCCAGCCGCACAGCCAGATCTCCGGGGACAGGTGCCAAAGAGTGCATATCTGCACTCAGGGGATCTTGCTCTGTCGGGCAGAGGACTCGGGCGGGTCCGTCCAGATGCCGCGGCGTCGCCACCCCTCGCCGCCTCGTTGCAGCTCACTCGGGTGGATCCGTCGAGGTTTCGCCGCGACGCCACCCGTTGCCGCCTCGTTGCCGCCCACCGTGCTCGGGGGATCCGTCGAGTTTGCACCACGCAGCTTACTCCACATAGCTTGCACCAAATATCTTACACCCCATAGCTCGCACCACGTAGACTGCACCACGTAGCTTACTGTTTGGGGGTCCACGCTGGCAAACGTGATTACTCCATCCCCCTGATAGGTTTTAGCATTAGGGACTCTTACCTGGTCATGGAAGTACGTGTTCCGAGACCTCTGCCAGCTTCGCCGACGTGGTTGCTGCCTTCATGTTGTTAAATTTCTTGTCATATGTGTTTCGTGCTCTCACACTTGGGGTCGAGCTGCACACCTACTAAAGTCCTGAGATCTGGGCGTTGCAGCTTTTTGGCACTGGGCGTGTTCGCCCGGCTTCGGGCCCTGGGAGCGTCGCGGATCGATCCGACTCGAAAAAATGCAGCAGAAACCTGGTCTTGGGCGCCAAACGTGATTGTTCGCCATGTTGACATTGTTCCGCGACGGCGGATCTCAGGGAACGAAACTAAGAATGGGAGAACATCGGATCGGGATAAACCAGGGATCTCTGAGAGCCGCCTGGAGGGTGTATAGGGCGCCGCGGCCGTGCCAGAGCGTCACCCAGATCTCCGACGATACGACTGTTTCAATCCTGGCGCATCTCCTTGATGTCGGCCTTCGGGGCCCGTTATCGGGCCCCAGGACCTTCTCAGAATGGGCCACACACGAAAAAAGTAGCCCTGGGGAACGGGTCGAGAGGTCTGGGGCCGCGGCTTAGAACAAGCATACTCTGGGTTTCTTAATGCGCGTGGGGGAGTACCCCCCCGACGGGGGTCAACCTCGCCTCGTCGTCGCGCCGCGACGGGGGCCGGAGCGCCTTCGGCGCGCGGTGGCTGCCCGCGACGGGGATCGATGTGGGGCTGTCGGCGGGGGTGCCGCCCCACCGACGCATATTAAGAAACTCATAGTATCCTTTGCTGCCTTGGCACGCCTGCACTGATCCTGACCAGGCCCCTCCAGAGCCCTTGCTCGGCCAGGGGACGTAGGCGCACATCTCCTGGGCTCGGCACTGGCCACATGTGTGCACCGTTTGGTGTGCTCGCTTTCCACCGCCACCACCATAAGTAGGAGGAGAGGGGGTCCTCCTCCTCCTCCTCCTCCTCCTCCTCCTCCTCCTCCTCCTCCTCCCTCCTCCTCCTCCTCCTCCTCCTCCTCCTCCTCCTCCTCCTCCTCCTCCCCCTCAAACCTATGGTGGTGGTGGTGGAAAGCAGGCCCATCAACCGTTGGCGCCCCCCGAGCTCCGGCCGGGGCCCCAGCAGCCACGAGTCCACCCAGGGCGAGGCGGCGTGCCGAGAGCCCGGCAGCGCCGCCAGCAGCTCCTCTGCGGGCGTCCGGGGATAGGTCTCCTGCGGCCCTCCGGGCGTTCCTTCCACATGTTCTCGTGGCCACAGCCGGGACCGCCTGGAGATGCTGGCCGGGAGGCGCCCGAGGACAGGGGCCGGGGGTCGACCTGAGGGCCCAAGGCCCCGTCTTCTAGCGGCGGGCAGACGGGGATGTCGTGAGGAGGGCGGCCGTCCGAGAAGGCAGGAGAGCTTCTCAGGAGGGACCACAGGCCTCCAGGAAGGCAGGAGGGCCTCTCAAGAGCAACTGGTCCCTCGTCTCCCTGGAGGGCCGTCAGGGCCGCCCCCCTCGCTCTGTCCCCCGTGCGCGCGCCGCCAGCTGCGTCTCAAATTACCCGAGACGAATATTTGCACGAACGCCCCATACAAAAGAGCAGACCGTCGCCAAATATGCAACATCTGCGCTGACCTCACCTCCGCCGTGCCTCCCAGCAGCCCACGAAAGTGGCGACAGTTGCGCAGCTCGCAGTCATCCAAGGATTAGCGAGATCCCAAATGGATTGGCGTGGCCCCCGACTCAACTAAACCTGCCAGGAGCCCATGAAAGCGGTGACAGCTGCGCAGCTCGCAGCCACCCAGGGGGACCCAGGGAGCAGCGAGGTCCCCAAGGGATCCGAGTGGCCCTCGACTCCGCTGGACCTCCCAGATCCGCGTGGGCTCCGACTCCGCTGGACCTCCTAGGAGCCCACGAAAGCGGTGACAGTTGCGCAGCTCACAGCCACCAAGGGAGCAGCGAAGTCCCCAATGGATCCGCGTGGCCCCCGACTCCGCTGGACCTCCCAAGAGCCCACGAAAGCGGTGACAGTTGCGCAGTTCGCAACTACTCAGGGAGCAGCGAGGTCCAGAATGGATCCGCGTGGCCCCCGACTCCGCTGGACCTCCCAGGAGCCCACGAAAGCAGTGACAGTTGCGCAGTGCGCAGCCACCCAGGGAGCAGCGGGGTCCCCAAAGGATCCGCGTGGCCCCCGACTCCGCTGGACTTCCCAGGAGCCCACGAAAGCGGTGACAGTTGCGCAGTGCGCAGCCACCCAGGGAGCAGCGGGGTCCCCAAAGGATCCGCGTGGCCCCTGCCTCTGCTGGACCTCCCAGGAGCACACGAAAATGACGACAAATGCGAAGTTCGCAGCCCCCCCCCGGGAGCCGCGAAGTCCCCAAGTGATCCGCGTGGCCCCCACCTCCGCCGAGCCTCCCAGGAGCCCACGGAAGCGGTGACAGTTGCGCAGTCCGCAGTCACCCGCGGAGCAACACAGAAGGGGGCAGGAGAAGGGGGGAGGAGAAGGAGGGGGAGGAGATCAGTGGAGTCCGCAGTGCTCAATTCCAAACGAGAACCCAACACAGGAGGGGTGGGAGTACATCACGATGGACGGCCAGAGGTCCGACACATCAGACACATGCCCGGGCAGGTGCTTCATAGTCTTGCGCCTCCCCGAGCCGACGTCGGGGCCCAGAACGCCTCTTCTGAACGCAACGCAGCAGAGCAATGGCCCAGCCGATCTTCGCAGGCTTACGCGAGCACGCTCTCAACGATCCCAGACCAAGAAAGCCACCTCGAACCAGGAAACTGAAAAAACATCTGCACCTAAAGCGCACCTGAGGAGCATATCTGGAGGCCACTTGCTGGAGACACATCGTGGATGGCCAGCGCACCGGGCCACACGAGGGCCGAGGGAGCTGGAAACGCGTGCGGCCACACGTGTGTATCCAATTGTCGCCCAGGCTGGCCACGTCACGGGAATCGGGCGCGCACACTGACATGGATTACGGATCCATGCATCTGGCGCGTGGGCGCCAGGTCCACGGATTGGGGAAGGTACCACCAAAAACATGGAGGCAATGCCGCCTGAATTGGCGACGGATCCAGCCGATGCTGCACGGAAGCGGGATTCGTCGCTGATCCACGCGCGTTAGTCCATGTTTGCGCTTCGTTGGGTGTATCCCCCTTCATGGCAATTCCTTTCTCACGGCTCCTCCTCCTCCTCCTCCTCCTCCGCCTTCTCCTGCCCCCCCTCTCCTTCTCCAGCGCTGCGGTGGAGGCTTCGCGGTGTTGCCCGAGCAGCACCCACACGGTGAGCACCAGGGAGGGGAGGTAGCATACCACGTATGTCGGAGGGCGCCAAGTGCACACCCACGCCGATCCTGGCCAGGCCCATCCTGACCCCAGGATCGGGTGAAATGATGTGCCTCCCTGCCTCGGCCAGGAAGGCCTGCACACCCGATCCTGGGACCGGGATGGGCCTGGCCAGGATGGGTGAGCGGAGCACGCCCGGCGCCCTCCGAGTCCAGCCTCAGCAGCTCCACCAGGCTGGCCAGCCAGGCGCCCTCCAGCTCGGCCGCAGCCCCCGGGGCCGACGGCTGCCCCGCCGCCGCGGCCGCGGCTCGCCGGCGCGGCTGCCTCGCGAGGGCCAGCCCCACGGAGGACCGCGCCAGCAGGGCGACCAAGCATCCCGAAGGGTGCGCGCAGGCGGCCGCAAGCCAGCCGGCGGCCTCCGCGAGGCACCAGGCCCGGGCCATCCTGAAGGACGCGAGCCACATCGTGGTACGAGTGGCTCTGGATGCGTTCCAGGGGTTCGGGGGTATCTAGCTGCCCTCGTGTCTGGAGCCCGTGCGGAGCAACAGAGAAACGTTCGGAAGTCCTGGAAACCTTGGAGATGCTGGAGCGTACCATGACTTCTTGCTCCTCGGATCCTGGGCTCCGCCGCGGGCCGGCACGGGCAGCAGCGGGACGCGGCGCGCTCCAGCACCGCCGACGTGCACGCCGTGGCCCTGCGGCACGCACACGCGAGGGCCGCGCCGACGAGGTGCATCAGCGCCGCGGCCGCGAGCGGCGGGGCGCCCGGGGAGTAACCTGCGTCCACGGTGGTGCCGGCAGCCTCCGAGCAGAGAGAGGAGCATCCGATCGACACCCCGGCCCAGGCGAGGATACAGACCGCACCGCTGCGCTCGGCTCCCGGCCTGCCGTCGGCCAGGCCCAGCGCCAGCGTCGCCCCCAGCCAGGCTGCCAGTATGTATCCCAAGTAAGTCCGGAAACACCTGCCCAAGGCTGACCACAGGTTGCCCGCGACCGCCACCCTCAGCTCTGCCGTGGGGTCGGAGAGGACCAAGAGCACTGGCGAGGACACCAACTCTGCGTTCGCCCGCGGCGGCTGCCCGGGCGCGAACCGGGGCGAGAAGAGGCCCGCGGAGGACTCGGCAGCCCAGCCCAGCAAGCTGCTCGCCGCGCCGTTGCGAAGAGCGCCAACATGCACCTCGGCGTCCACCGATGCCGCCGCGAGAAACACGGCCTGCAGACCCCAAGGCGCAGACGCCCCCACGGCCACGCGCACATCCACAGGCAGGAACGGCGCCAGGGGCGAGGACGGCAGCTCCAGCCGGCACACGACCGCGTGGCCCGCTGGCAATAGCACCTCCCGCGGGCGCAGCAGCGACGCAGCCCAGTCCAGGGCGCCGCCCACTGCGGGCAACGCCGCCACCGCCGCGGGCCATCCACTGACTTCTCCTCGCCCGGGCGCCCCCAGCGGGTCGCCGTGCCAGTGCGCCCAGCCCACCACTGTGGGACCCTTGCGGCTCGCGGACTCCGAGTCGGCGTGCCGCTCGACGGACACGGCGAAAACCTGTCCAGCTGGAATGTCTGTGGGCGCCTGCACGTGGAACACGCATGCCTTGGCTGGGTACTGCAAGTCAAGGCCGGACACGTCCTGCCACGCGGCAGAATCGAGCGTACTGACAAGGGAGGCATCGTCAAAGAGCTCGCTGCCTGGAGCAATCCTCGCGCTGCGCACGGTGGCCAACTCCGAGCACTGCACCCTGTCTTCGGGAAGGAAGTCATCGCCCCGCGTGTTCCTCTCCAGCTGCCGCTTGATGCGCCTCGGCTTCTCCAGCAACAACAGCGTGAAAAAGGCGCCACCCCCACCGCTGGGTGCCAGCAGCAGGTGCGACGCGCCAGCCTCGAGCCGCCGCCACTCCACTGCGCCAGGGCGGGCAGAGGCGGCGCAGGCGGTGCGCCAGGCGCCCGCGCTCAGCGGCTCCACGGGCGCCGCTGCGCCTGCCGACGGCGGCGACGCGACCAGCCTCCACCCGCCGGGCCTGCTTCCAGAGCTGCCTCCGCCGGCGCCCAGCGGCGCCGGCTGGCGAAAGAGGGCTGTCAGCGGCGACCTGAAGGCCTCTGGCAAGGCCTGACCGTCGACGGCGTCGCCCAGGAGAGCGGCGACCGAGTGCAACATGTGCCGCGAAAAAAGCAAGTTGACGTGACTAAAGCACGAGTGAAGGTCCCGCATCGTGGCCGTCTCCATGGCCGCTCCCACGGCTCCAGGAGGAATGACGGCCACCTCGCTGGGCACAAGTGGATCCGTCTCGCCGGTTGCCACAGAGGCCGTCCACAGTGGCTTGCTGGCGCCGGTAGCACCGCGTCCTGGGGCCACAACGCCCCAGTACTCCCTCCGCAGGGCGTCGGCAAGGAGGCCCATGGACGGCTCGAGGGCGAGGGGGTGGCCCATGACGGGCGTGGACAGCATCACCAGTGCCCGGACGCCTGCATCCGTGCCCAGACGGCACAACGCCTTCTGCGCCACCGCGCCGCCCATGGAATGGGCCAGCAGCACGAGCTGCGTCCCAGGCTGGTCCTCCGCTGCGTACAGCTCGCGGATCCGGCCGATGGCCTCGGCCACGAATTCGGCCTGCTGGAGCACAATCGACGGGTGGAACGCGGACGCGGACGCGTGGAAGTCGGCGCTGAAGAACGCCACCGGCCGCTGCGCGCTGACGTAGGCCGCGATATTGATGACCTGGGTCCACTTGCCCATGTGCCCGGGGATGAAAAGGACAGGCGGAGCCCGCCGACGCCACTCTCGCTTGTCGGACCGGAAGAAGAAGCTCCCGGTTTCGACCTCCCGCAGCCGGAAGTGCGTCGAGCCCTGGCCGGGCATCTCGACGGCCTCGGACCTCGCGGAGTTGCGCATGAGGTTCCACGTGCGGTCGTCCTGGTAGGGGCCGAAGGCAACGAAGCCGCCGACAAGCGCCAGGGCCACCCCAAGCACTTCAAGCACAGCGGCTGCTCCCCGGAGCAGCCGCATGGCGGGCGGGATCCGGGAATCGGGTGGGGGCGAGGAGAGAGGGTGGGGGGGGTCCATACCTTTGGAGTGGACGACAGCGGAATACATTGACGGCCAGGACCTCGAAGGCGGAGCAGGCTGAGGGGAAAACGAAGCGGCGACGACGACTGCGACGTCGATGAACGTCGATCGACGTCATACGACGATGACAGCAACGACTGACGACGGACGGCCGACGGACGACCACCGAGGACCGACGACCGACACCGGCACCGACGACGATGACGACAACGACGACGACGCCGACGACGACGACGACGATGACGCCGACGACGACGACGTCGACGCCGACGCCGACGCCGACGCCGACACCGAGCCGAGGTTCTGCGCGCAACCAAGAACGCGTCCGACGAACGAACACACCTCAGGATCAAACAAGGGAAATCTGAAGGACCAGAACGGTCAGAAACTCGGCCCAGGAAGGAGCGGTGCCACAGAAAACCACCGCATCGGAAACCCTGGGCCCACACAGGCGTTTTTGACATTGGCAAGGCGACCACTTTTTGGGAGAAACAGTGGCCAGCGGCTGATTTCCCAGAAAAAAGTCGCCTCGCCAGCCGATGCAGAGGCGTGGTGCCCGGCAGAGGGTCAGAGGCACCAGGACAAACCCAGGACTGCCATCCTCTCCCACGGGGCCTGAGCCCACGGCCTACCCCGTCGATGGCCGTGAGCTGGTTCCGACGGGTGTCCAGGACCTCCGAGAGCCCACCGCACGCAGGTCGGAGCTTCCTCACCGAACGCACCGAACCCGAATCTCAATGACCAGCACAGCGGCGGCAGCAACAGATCGACTCCACACAAGAGCTGCATGCCCCAGAGCCCCGAGCTCCGCGATGAGGGCCTCAGCACCACCGTTTGAAGCTCCGTCGACCTCCAGCTGCTGGGGAGGACCCCCGACGGACTCAGGACCTGCGGGAGGGGGCTCAGGAGGGGGCTACAACCCTTGGGGCTCAAAGGAGGCTTCAGCGGCAGCAAGAGCAGAGGCCACGCGGGGATCACTCAGGGCTCCCACCGCGCAGTAGACGTCCTGAAGCACTCCGAGTTCAGGGCGCGTGCGACAGCATTCGGGGCACACTGGCGCCCACCACCCACCCCGATATACCCAAGAGACGCCTCCGTACGAGCAGTAGTTCCGCAGGCTCAACAACTGTAGATCCCCAAATGCTTGCACCACCACGTCTCGTGTTCATCTGCACGCTGAAATAAGGCAGGGTATCTGAGCTCTGGGGCCTTCGGCTCGGGGAACGCATCTCGGTCGTACTTCTGAGACACGATTACCTGGTGCACCACTGCACCCCAAGCGATGTACCCCAGCAACTTCGTATGCCCAGCCAGCACAGTACGTATGCTCTCACCTCTCGCTGACTGTCTCGGCCACCATGTGGGAGGCCGCTCCACACTTCGCAAAGAAATCTGCCTAGACATTGCTGAGCTAATCTTCGAACGAGCCGTCAGCCTCCACCACTCCGTCGAAAACCTAGTGTGCGCAATTGTCCACTGAAAACCAAAAGGAGGCAGAGCGGGAGAACGAGCACTGGCGGCGGCAAAAACATGTCTCCACACACAGCCGTGCTTCGCTCGACCATGTTGCAGGGACTCGTTCCAACTAAAGCCCTTCTGGACCAATGAGCTAGAATCTGAAACAATTAACTCATGGTGGGGCTGGTAGTCGAGTCCCATCCTGATCGCATATCTCTCGGCACGCCCTACAGTCTGGATCAGGTGCGGCAGCGGGCCATAGACGGCCCTCGCGGGTAAGAAAGTCTCTGTGACGAACTGGCAGACAGACCAGCCACACAGGAAGACAGGAAAGGCGGAGGAGACGAAAAGGAGAAGAAGGAGGATGGAGAACGACAAAGGGGGATCAGGACAGAGGAGGAGGATCACGGCAGGAAGACTGAGGAGGAGGCGGAGGAGAGGAGGACAGAGGGAGAGAAGGAGAATGAGGAGGACAGAGTATGGGGACAGAATGGGGGAGGACGGAGGAGGAGGAGGAGGAGGAGGAGGAGGGTGAACAGGACAGAGGAGGACGGCGGCGGCGAGCAGCAGCGATCGCGGGCCGTCGCGTCTGAGGGGACGACCGCCCGCAGCAGGCTGCCACCGGCGCCCGCGGCGACCGCTGGAGCGGCGCCTCGGCACGCTTGGGCGCGCGTCGTTGTCGTCGGCGTCGCCGCCTGCGCCACCAGCGTCGCGAGGAAGACGGCCCTGAAAGGAGTAGAACCATCGTGCTACCTGGAGAAACGCTGAATCGGGAACGAGAGGTACGTTTCTGGCCACGGTGACCGTCGGCAACGAATAGGTCCTCGACCGAAGTACAACGGCCCGAAAACGGGAGCCCGTGCTGAGTCCAAGGCGATCCTTAGTTCAGCGTCGTGCCTGAGATTGGATCGTCATCGGGCATTTTCTGTTCATAGCACGAACACGTGCTGCTACTGGTCACGCGACTTACGAGTAACAAGACATAGGACAACCAGCATCAAAACGATATCAGCGTGCGGACCCAAAACAGAGGCGAGGCAGTTAAGCGCGGGGCCACCAAAGCGAGGAGCGGGGCAGCAGGGGGGGAGGGGGGGGGCAGGCGCGGGGTGGCAGGGGCAGGCGCGGGGCAGCCCGCGGCGGCAGGGTACGGCGGAGGAAGATGGCCAGCGAGGCATAGAAAGGCGGCTGACAGCCCGTTCGGCAGGACTCCACCAGACCCCCGTGGCGGCAACGAGCCCTCACGAGCGACGGACATATCCGCACCCATGCACTCGCAGTGCGACGACCGAGGCTCGATCACATGGTACGCGATCCAATGGATGCGTCCCGCCGGGAGGGTCCCACGCAAAGCCGCCCTGTGCCCATGGGTCGTGGCCGAGCAGCCCTGACTGCGAATCCGTGGATGTGGTTGTTTCCTGCCCAGGCGCCTTTTGACAGAGCAGGGGAAGATCCAATGGAGTCGCACAACCGATCTCGGCGTAGATCTGGACAGCTCTTCAAATGATGGAATTGGTGATGGCGGCAACGGGGACGAGATAGAAAAAAAGAAGCGTTGCCTTTTTTTTTGTCTCTCTCTCTCTCTCTCTCTGACATCGCGTCTTTCGTTCCTCCATAAATGTCTAGCTATCCATTTGGCGGAAGTGCGATCTCTGACCATTCACGAAAAAACGTGCACAGTTATGTAAAGTGTCGTAACGGCCCGATGAAGTAGTGCAAACTACAGTGACGGTCAGGAAAAGACATGTAAGTACTTCGCAACGCCCGCTTGCACTAACTCTCACGCGTCGGCATAGCAGCTGCGCGCTCTCATCCTGTAGCTCTATGGACGCATTATGGCCAACAGTTACGAGGTTGATCCAGCCGTGGCCACGGGGGCACTCTAGGAGGCCAGAAAAAAAGGCCCCAACGATCACAAAGGCACATGTGTTTTCGATCCGCCATCCGCGATCTCACCTGCTCCCTGGGCCTCACCAAGACATGCGATGAGCTGCCCGTTACAATCCTCAGGCCCCAGGGGTCCTGACCAGACCGATGAAGCTCCCAGCTCCTGATGCACAGTCGGACCCAGGCCAGAAGAACACCCATCAAGAACATGAGACCCCCCGTCGGCCAAAACAAATAGCATCGAAGAACACCCGCCGCATGATGCACGAGAACATCCAACATAAACGAAGAGCACGAGGGCACACTCCCCGAACCGACCTCGACCTTATTCCTCGGTCCGACTGTAGGCCACGACCAGCTTAAAGAAGAGCGCCCGAAGCGCAGCTGACCTCGTGCTGAAGGCCCGCGCGAGGGCCTCCATGAGACGGATCGCTTCCTCCGGGCTGTAAGCTCCATTGACAGCACTAGCGGTGAGGCCGAAAGCAACAGCAATGGCACGGGAGGGCAAGGGAGAAGAGGGGGAGGATGGGGGAGGAAGAGAAGGAGGAGGAGGAGGAGGAGGAGGAGGAGGAGGAGGAGGAGGAGGAGGAGGAGGAGGAGGGGGAGGGGGAGAGAAGAGGAGGAGGAGGGGATGAGGAGGAGCAGGAGGAGGAGGAGGAGGAGGAGGAGGAGGAGGGAGGAGGAGGAGCAGGAGGAGGAGCGAACGTCCACTGGCGGACGTTGTCATCTTCATGGGCGGCCGCGCGCGGGAGCGCCGCCGATCGGGCTGGGGCCGAGCCTCAGGGCATACCGAGCGGCCCTCACCACGTTGATGTGGGTGTGGTAGCATATGGAGTCCACGGCCGAGCCGTGGTGGAGCGAGTCCTGCAGGCTGTGGTACGCGCGGTAGGCGACGGCCATGCGCGCCAGAACGTGATCGATGAGATTGTCGGGGTCGCCGCTGTCGGAGAAATTGACATCGTGGAGCCCCAGGTGGGCGAGCACGCATTGATGAAGACGGCCTCGCGGCAACGATACATGATGCCACATGCGTTTGCAGATCATGTAGTGGGCGAGCGTGTCAGGGTTGAGCTCGGGGTCGCAGCCGAAGACGCAGCTGCGGCGAACAGGTTGAACGTGGAGGGGATATGTTGTGACCCCGCCGCCTGCCAAGGTTTTCATCACTAGCCAGAAACTAGAGGGCGGTAGTTGAGCAACATGTGGTCGTAGTTGTCGCCACGAGCTTCGCATGGAAAACGGCAGCTGGAAGAGCATAGTCATGTCGTTGTTGTCCGCGTACTGTTCGGTGAGGTCCTCATTGAGGTCTGGGAGGTGGTCGGTGTCGTCATTCTGGAAGTCGACGTCCAGCACCAGTCTGCGCCGAGCACGATGTTCAGCGGCAGCAGCGGTGAAGAGTTGTTGAACTTGTGTGGAGCGCGAGCCGGAGAAGACGTTGTTCGTCTGGCGGCGGCTCCTCACTGTGATGAACCAAGCGTCGGAACAAATACGGCTGGCACGATAGCGGAGTTGCTGGTCAGATTCGCCTCGGAATAATACTTGAAAGCTGTCTCGACGGAGCATGCGAAGAACGTATTCCTCACACCAGGCATGCCAGTCCG